AACGTTAGGAAGAACAACCTTCAGAACACGGCCAAAGAGCCTGAAAAACCCACAACAACCAGTAGATCCCGCCGTGAAAGCCTTTGTGAATATATAGTTAAAATCTTGTTTAGCCTAAAAATCAATTTGATTAAGCAAAGCAAAATGCAAAGTGTGCTGCTTATATATCGCCCCATAGCACTTCAAGCACTGTCTGAGCAGTTTACAAGTTAATTATGCAGGCTACACATTGCCCCCCCCCAGCAAGCTGGGTACTCATTTTACTGACCTCGGAAGGATAGAAGGCTGAGTCAACCTTGAGCCGGCTACCTGGGATTTGAACCCCAGGTCGTGAGCACAGTTTTGGCTGCAGGACAGCAGTTTAACCACTGGAGGTGACCCTTCTATCCAGTTACTTCTGGTTTCACATGGGAGATCTAGTGCAGCCCTGGAGGGCACATGGGCTGGAAAAAAAAAACCCTGGCCCCTGACCTTGCCTGACCATGACGTCTGTTATCTGAACTCTCTGTAATAGATATTATGAGGGACGGGGACTCAAGTTGCAGGACTTGCTGTCAACTCGGACGTAAGTCGCACCGGCAACTCGACGTGGACCCGACTTGGGTCCCCCCCCCCAGTGACTTTGACTCGACTTGTGACTCAGAAGCCTACTCACCCCTCCCCTTTTTCTAGGGGGAAAAGGTTTGTTTTTAATAGGAACTCAGGACTTGGGACTCAGGACTTGGTCCAAGACTTGGCAACATCCCTGGTTATTACCTTTACAGGAAAGGAAAAGGTTGGCACCTGCCAAGAGTTATTAGGTTAATTATGAGACACAGCAAGCAGGTGTGAAACCTGTTCAAGAGAATGAAATTGTGCACAGGGTGTCTCTATCAGAGACTTGCACATCTGTTTCTTTGATGAAGGAAATTGTATTTTAGTACCAGGTAGATGGTACACCTGCCTGCCCACCAGCAATATATTCTGTGTATCTGCTTGCCCAGGTGCTGCCTGATGAAACCCTTACAGGATGCTCACATTTACAGTTTTATAACTAGAGTGCGTAATCTGTAGTCACTAGGATATTGTTGAACTACAATCCTCATCATCTCAGGCCAGGGTGGCTGGAGCTGATGGGAGCTGGATCCAGCAACATTTATTTATACTTTTCTTAAAAAAATCATAAACCACTGTCAGACTAGTTCTGGGTGAAGATACAAGCAAACATCTGGATGGCTGCAGGATCTCCAACTCTATTTTATAATCTCATTATCTAGAACAGTAACTATTTGTTCTTCTTAGAGGGAAAAGATTGGACTACCAGGAAGAGCCTTCCACTTTACTTTAAAGGGATTTCTTTGTCTTGAACAAAATGTTCAGACATTTGACAGAGAAATGGGAAAGGTACAACAGTTGCAAATATAGCTATCAATAAGCACGAAAGCACACAAGTTCTCTGTGATTGTAATTCAGCCTGTTAGCGTAGAGATTAGAAAAGTAATTGTTGTTTGTTTAGTTTTTTGAGATCTAGGATTCAAAAACTGCTTTGTTAAAGCTTTCTATGCTGCAAACATTCCATAACAAAACCTTCCAGCAAACAAACCATATAAACGATACATTCATTCATCCCTATGTTAGTGGTGCCCAGCACTCAGAATCCTATTGATCCCATACAGCATAAGTGTATCCCAACCATACCACTGCCTCCACTTTTGTCCACATGTCACATTTCTCACCTTTTTCAGTTCAGGAGAACAGTGGCATACCAGCTTGCGTGCTTGTACACACAATAGATGGTAAACAAGGTGAAAAATTATGTGTGATTGCCCATATGCACATGACTTTTGTGAGTACAGAATCACATGACATGCTCTACTGAAGGAGGCATTGATACCTCCATGGGAAAATCTGGGTCCACCCAACATCCCCTAATCTAGATTTTATGATTCAGGAGGTATATTGCTCCTTTCAATATACTATATCCTGTTGGGCAGGATGCTCTTCCCCTTGACTTTTTAAACAGACTGATCTTGCTGAAGACCAGTATTTCAGCCCCCTTTTTATTATATTCTTTCAGCTTCTCTCACCCTAAAGATCAGGATGAAACAGAAAGCAATCAACTCCATCAATGGCTTTAATAACCACTGGAAGTTACTAGTGGAATGTTTAAAAAAATCCTGCCTATTTTTTTTTCTGTCCAGTTTCTCTAGAAATGCAACCCACTGCTTGGCAAAGCAGAAAACTGGGATAGCTCCTCTTCTATACCTTCTTGTATGAGAGGCGGTGGCGATGCTTGACTCTTGTTCATCAGAAATCTGCTCAGGATCACACTGTCACTGGTACCAGAACGGCTCCTCCTGTCTGCTCTGGCAGCTTCTACAATAGAGCGAACCTGGATGCGTAATCTGGGGGATTTTTCCTAGAAAGCCAGAAACACACCATCAGAGGGACAAACAGCTACAGTCATTCAGGCACTCTGGGCACGCCTTCTCAGTCCAGGATAAGCAGCCCAGAAACGGTAGCTTCCATTTAGTAGAAGAAGGTGGGGACCTTTGGGTTAACCCAAGTGGGGGAAAACATAAAATAAGCTCTTTATTTTGCTTTTGGATCCTTTCGTTAATTACATTTAGACATATTCTGCAATCTAATTCATTTCGTTTTCTGAAATATAGGATAACAAAGGTATCGAATTTCAATCAGATTTCCTCTGTCGCATTATCTCTATTTGACCCACGTACATAAAATCTTCTCATGGATATTTCAACAAATAGTGTGAATCTTGCAACGAGGACTGCCAGCTGCCAATCGGGATTTAGAGAACATCATGGAGGGAGGTGTGGATTTTGAAATTTTAAAAGGGCCTGGAAAACTGGAATGGGTACTCTTTTGATGCTTCATGACTTGTTTGCCGTTGCTGCAAGAGCTCCTCTGACCTCCATTTTGGTTTTGGATTGTCATCATCCTTGAAGCTACCTGCTGCTGTTATTGTTCCTGATTATATTTAATTTTTGCAGCATCGTCTTAGAACTGCAAAGCTGGAAGGGACCCAGCTACCAATCAAGTCCAACCCTTGTTAGGAAGGCACAGTTGAGAATCAAACTCCCAATCTCTAGCTCTACAGCCATTTACCTGAACCACTACGCTAACAGTTCAATGCTGCTGTTTTTCTGTTTGGGGTTATCTGTTCCTTCCTTTTCCACAGTTTTGGATTCTTTTGTGGGTTTTTTTGCCCTTTTATTTTATATTATTTTGGAGGGATCCCTCCATTTCCTTTATTTCTGCTGTTGACTTCTGGAGTGCCAGCCTGCCCTCCCTTCACACACACCCCTTTCAATTTGCCCTGCTCTTGCTTTTCCCAATGGGACAGTGTTTTGTTTAATGTATTCACGAAGGCTTTCACTGCCAGGATCTAATGGTTGTTGTGGGTTTTTTGGGCTCTTTGGCCATGTTCTGGGACTCCCAAACAAACTGCCCCAGAGCACAGAGTCCTACCCCTGTCCTCTGAAGATGCCGGCCACTGAGACTGGTGCAACGTTAGGAAGAACAACCTTCAGAACATGGCCAAAGAGCCCGAAAAACCCACAACAAACAGTGTTTTGTTTGTTTGTTTGTTTGCTTTACAACTTACAATTCAGTTTAAAGCTGAACTGACAAGGAGAAGGAAGAAGACAGGGGGATGGTAATTTGATATTAATGTGAATTTTACAGTACTCTTAGTGCCTGCCTGCCTACGTCCAATGATGACTGATTTTTCTTTCTTATACATTGTTGTTTTCACCCACTTTTGGAGCAGATGATTGTTGTCTTGTCTGCTTTTTTGAATAATTTTGGTTGTTCTGTAGGGTTTGGCTAGCACCAGAAACTCAAATGATGAGGTGGGATGTAATGGAAAACCATGTAATGGTGGACCATTTCATGTTTAACAAAAGGGCTGGGATCTGAATAAAACATCCCCCAAAGGAGCTCAAAATGAATGAAATCCAAAAGTTTAAGATGTGCACATCCCTATATATTATTATGCAGATCCGCCACTGAGATTTTAAGCAGACTATGAATATACTGTAGTAATAATTCTGCAGTATCAGAGTAAATGTCCACTTATTCCAGCGTCACTGTGGCTAGCCAGATACTTTTGAGAAACCCACAAGCAAGATGTGCAGGGAATAACCCTTTTTTTGCTGTTGCTCCCAGCAAACTGGTACTCTAGGAGTACTGCCTGTGATGTTGCTAGGGTAGATTTAAAAGCAGTGGAGCAGTGGCCGGGGGAAAGATGTCGAAACCTGCCTCTTCTTGATATTCTACCCTGCTTTCCTCTACACCTCTCTTTCTCCTGATGAAGCTTTTAGAACAAATGTTCTAGATTTAACCAAGAGAAATACAGTTGGAGGAGGCAGTATGGAAGCAAAAATGTCCACCCAGACTATCCAATAAAAATGATGAAACAAATATTGACCAAAAATGTCAGTCACATACTCTGTAAGGACTGAATCCTTCCCGTTTGGTCCTCAGATAATTAGATAGGTTTCCATATTTACAGAATTCAACAATGACCATGAGGGGACCTGCAGGGGAAAAAAAACACAAGAAGAAACAAAGTGTATTCTGGACAGAGTTGAGTTTCTGAAACTTTGTCTTGCCTTGACTTCCGCACTGTACATTCCTCACACATAGGAATATGGATGATACTTCCTCAAATAATAGTTCTTTTACTGTTTCATACACCCTGTTTTTGCCATCAAAACTGATCAAGAATATTTACCATTCGGTTTGGTGCAGGCTCCCAGAAGGTTCACCACATTAAGATGGTTTCCAATATGGATGAGAATCTTCAACTCTGACATGAGTGCCTTGTGCTCACTCGCAGTAGCTCCCTCTGAAAACAAAGTCACAGCAATCTCTTGATTACTATAGTCAAGCTTCACTTATGCATACCCATACCAGTCCTCCAAATTATTCAAACTATTTTCTTCTTTATTTATACAACAGATACCAGATCTTTTCAGTAGTGACTGCTCTGCTCTGGAACTCTCTTCTTTTGGAGGTGCAACCGGCCCCCCACCATCATGAGCTTCCGCAAGCAAATCAAAACCTATGGAGGTGCGACCGGCCCCCCACCCTCATGAGCTTCCGCAAGCAAATCAAAACCTGGCTTTTTACCCAGGCCTTCCCAAGCACATCCCTTGTGTAAAATTATGCTGGCCTGTTGTCTGTCATCCTATGTCCCTGATGAGTGAATTTATAAGGGGCCGGGGTAGGGTTTTGTTTGTTTTCTTTTAATATGTTTTATATGGTTTTAATATTTTAGCTGTACATTTTATATTACTGTATTTTGTAAGCTGACCAGAGTAGCGGCATGCTCACTAAATGGGAGGGGTAACCCTTGTGTAAAATTATGCTGGCCTGTTGTCTGTCATCCTATGTCCCTGATGAGTGAATTTATAAGGGGCCGGGGTAGGGTTTTGTTTGTTTTCTTTTAATATGTTTTATATGGTTTTAATATTTTAGCTGTACATTTTATATTACTGTATTTTGTAAGCTGACCAGAGTAGCGGCATGCTCACTAAATGGGAGGGGTATAAATTTAAATATATATTTTTTTAAAAGACAAAAATTTTATTTTTAAAAAATATACACATACATTATATTGTATTATTATGAACATAACAAAACTCACAATAAACATAGGATTGTTCTCTTATTTAGGATCCTGTCCTTTAACAGAGAGGAAAGGATAACTTTTGTGGCCACACAGAACTGGCACCTTCTTGAGACAATGAGTATTTTTTGCTTTTTGAATAATATATGGATAGTATGTCCACACAAGAGAGTATTTGTCCTTCAAGTACTGTATTTGCCACTTGCAGCACAGTCATACGCTCATTCACACAAATGTGAGTCCCACTGAAATTGTATGGGACATAATTTTGAGTAAATATACATAGCATTGCACTGCATGAATGCTGTATAGGTACGGGAGAAAAACTACTGGCAAATGGGCCATGGACAGCCTTTGTCCTAATTTTATGTTGGGTGCACATATGTGTAAAAGAGAAAGAGAGAAGGAGAACACAGTAGTAGGCATCCTTCAGTCTCGAAAAAGAGAGAGGGAGAGCACAAGAACACTGAATAATCTGCTTTTTAAAATTGCTTTAAAAACCCCAAACTTATGACTCTAATCCCTCGTGGATTTGGCTCCAGTCACCATCAACCACTGTAATCCCAATTTTGGCCATTGGCTCAATTGGGAAAAGATTTCCCATCCTAGCCATTCAACACAGGCATAACCATGACTGGTTCACTGGATGGGGAGAGCACAAGAACACTGAATAATCTGCTTTTTAAAATTGCTTTAAAAACCCCAAACTTATGACTCTAATCCCTCGTGGATTTGGCTCCAGTCACCATCAACCACTGTAATCCCAATTTTGGCCATTGGCTCAATTGGGAAAAGATTTCCCATCCTAGCCATTCAACACAGGCATAACCATGACTGGTTCACTGGATGCGTGTGAGAAGGCTACTCCATTAAGATACACTGGATTTAACATGTGCTACAGATTTGGAGAATATGAATGAAGCTTAACGAAAATATCAATTCCAGGAACAAAGAACACAAACCGAGTAGGGCCACTGGCTGGCTAGCCCAGTCTTGTCTACACTGATAATCAGGGGCTTCCCTTGTTTTCCAAAAGAGTCTTCCCCAGCTTTCTTGGAGATGCTGGGCAATAACCCTGGATACCAAAACGGAAATATCCAGATTGGCCAGTGGAGGGGATCAGACAGTATTTCAGTAGTACTATTTTTTTTTTCTGGCAAAGCTTCAGCTCGCATAGCATGTGTTCTGCTGTTAAGTAACAGTACTTCCCCATTTTGCACAATAATAAATTATTATATACTTAAAGCTGCAGAATATTCTAAAGTGCTAAAGTTTTAACCTTTACTCTTCAAATGAATAAAGTAATAAAATAATGGAACGTTTTCATTTCGGAACTCAGCAGCATATCAATTTAAAACACAAAGGTATAAAAAATCGTTATTCTACTCAGATTTTGGTCTCCATGGCAAATTGGCCTCAATTTTACCCAGCTCCCTCCCTCTGATTGTTCTTGCTGCCAAAACTAAGAAAGCCATTTTGTATGTTAAATGAGTTTTACTGTCACTCAGTCTTTCTATAAGGGTAGCAGATGTTTCAAAAGCCTCTCTTTGCAGTTTACATACAAATGGCAGGTAGAACACAATGTGTATGAAATAGTACCTGAGAATAGCTCAATATATCTTTTTTTGTGTGCAAAGTGCAGTTTGCTGAGGAAGCAGGGCTGCCTTTGTCTACCCTATTGTGTGGATACACTTGGTTCTCCTTTTAGGTCAGTTTGATCTCCAATGTGCATAGATCAAACATGGAATCTCTGTTTTTAGAAAGAAACCCTTTGTATTACTCACTGTGTTGGGGTAGTAAAGTTGCCATTATCGTTATTGTTCTATTCATATAAAAATCAGGTTGGACTGTGTGTGATCTGCATGTTGGATTGCTACCAAGGTGCTAGGAAAAAAATACAACCCCCCTTCTCATCTCCTCTAGTGGACAATCCTGATATCATAGTGTGCCAGGTGCTTTCAAAAATACCAAAAAACAAAACAAAACAATGCTCTCTGTGTCACTTAGGATTGATAAGAAAATGACATAAAGCTTAAAAACCACCTCTCAAAGGTATTAAAATGCTTAAAAATGCTCTTTGGAGTTAACCAGAAATGTTACTTGTTACACTGAAAATCACTCCTTTGCAATGTAACTTGAGCCCTCAGATGAGATAAAGGTCTTGTGTCTAGAATGAGCACACCCTCAAGTGGTGAGAAAAGTGTAACTACCAAAACATGTTAAAAGGAGCTGCGTGTTACCTCTTTGAAAGGTAAACAACGGCTGGAATCCTGTTGCTTTACATATTACAGTGGTGCCTCGCTACAGTTACCTCGCATGACAGTTTTTTCACTAGACATTGACTTTTTGCGATCGCTATAGAGATTCGCAAAACAGTGATTCCTATGAGGGAATTTCGCTGGACAATGTTTGGTCCCTGCTTCACAAACCGATTTTCGCTAGACGACGATTTTGACAGCTCCCTCCGCGCTCACAAAACAGGTGTTTTCGGGACCTAAGCTTCGCAATACAGCGATTTAAACAGCTGATTGGCAGTTTGCAAAGTGGCTTTCCTATGGCTGATCTTCACTAGACAACGATGATTCTTCCCCATTGGAACACATTAAACAGGTTTCAATGCATTCCAATGGGGAAATGCTTTTCGCTAGACAATGATTTCGCTAAATAGCGATTTCAGTGGAACGGATTATCATCGTCTAGCGAGGCACCACTGTAATTGCAACTAGAGCAGGCTCATTGAAGCAGTGGGGATTTGGTGAGTCTCCTCCTCTGAAAATTCTGTTGAATCAATGGGCCTACTCTAGATGTGACTCGCTATGCTATGCATCAGGATTTCAGCTAATGTCTTCATTTGCACATCTAATCCTGGAGACATGGATGTAAAGGAGGTAACACAGCTGAGGATAAAATGATGTAAGAAAGGGAAAGCAACATTTACCGACACCCCCCCATCCCAGGCAGCTCTATAGGAAACTACATTACTTGCATCCAGTTACCTCCAAGCTCCGGTCCAGGCACAATAGCACACACCCTCCACTAAATGTCTTTTTCCTGCATCCTACTGATGGGAACTGTAGCACTTTACTTTTTTTTCTGCTACTCTTTAGCCTTAGAATTCCATTGCTTCATTCTGGTACATCTGTGGACCATCCCTTATTGAGGATGGTAAGTAGCAAGTGATGTTAATTTAAGTGTCTTTGGTTTTCAGAAAAGGGATTTTTCAGACAGACATTTCCATTAGCAATACTGGAGCCCAGGACTCTGAATTTCATTTCATAACAGCTTCTGTATCCTTAACAATAATAAAGAAAAAGAACTTCCTACATATTCCTATGCTAATTGAATAAAAACCCAAGAGTGAATTAAAATATGGATGTAAATGCTGCAATTTAAAAATGTTAAGAGGAAAGTCTGTTATTAATTTAGGTGTTTTAAGCTAATCTGTAAAATAAGAACCAGCCCCCATCCCGCCCCCAGATATCAGGGCTGCTTTATACCAACTCCAGTTGAAAGCATTAATCAGTGTTATTAACAGATGAGGTAGCCTTGGTTATTTTTGTACAGAGGGCGGAATGTTCAGATCTCTCTTTCCTGTTCTGTGATTTCCTTGCCACTATCTTGAATCTTTTCCCTTTGGGCCTGGCTCAGCAATCTTGCTCTCTTCCCCCTTTGTCCATTCATAAATTCTTCAGTGACAGCTGTAGGCCTGAAAGAATCCCTTATACCTGATCCTAACCTCCCTGGTTTCCTCATTTATTCCCTTGTTTCCCTGGCTGCTTGATTTTTATTTTCCATTTTCTTCATTTTTCCAATGCCTGAGCAATTCATTCTGGTACTTTTACAGAACGAAGATCTTCTGCAGGTGATGCTGTTCTGTCCCTCCAGTGCTGCCTGGGGGCTGTACTGCAATGGATGCAGGAAAATGGGCTGAGGCTGAACCCGGACAAGACGGAGATTCTGAGGGTGGGTGCCCCCACTATCAGAGGCTTGGGTGACTCCCTCTCATTTGGGGGGGTGACCCTTGCTGCAAAGAGTGGGGTTCGCAGCCTGGGGATCCATCTGGACCCGGTGCTCACCATGGAGACTCAGGTGGCGTCTATGGTCCGCATCGCCTTTTTCCACCTTTGGTGGATAGCCCGGCTGCGGCCCTATCTTGATGTGGGGGCACTCACTACCTTAGTTCATGCGTTTGTAATCTCGAGATTAGACCATTGTAATGCGCTCTACAAGGGGCTACCTTCGAAGTTGACGCGGAAACTCCAAGTGGTACAGAATGCAGCGGCCAGAGTCCTTAGTGGAGTGAGAAAATACCACCATATTTCTCCTATTCTGGCTGCGCTGCATTGGCTGCCCATTCGGTTCCGCATCGACTTTAAAGTTTTGATGCTTACGTATAAGGGCCTCAATACTTGGCGGAACGCTTACTCCCACCTAGTTCTACTCGTGTCACAGGTGCGAGTCAGGAGGTGAGGCTGAGGAGCCTGATGCCGAGGGAGGCCT